GCTCAGCAGGTTAAAGCACAGCAGTAAGAAGCTAAAGTCACTTCAGCATGAGTTTGATCCCTGCCTCGGAGATGACCCACAGGGCGCAGCAGACCTCTCCTGACCCACCTGCCTCTGCTCCCCTCAGCAGTGTACTTCCTCGATCTGCCTGTTCTGCTCCCCACTCTGTCCTTGGTGAATCCTCTCACCGCCCCTGCACCTCTGGCCTGTACGCCAGTTCGGTATCCATAAATAAATAAATCTTTAAAAAACATCATGGTATAAAATTTAATAGTTAATACGATTATGGTAAAAACTAAATTGCTTTTAGACTTTAAAATTTCAGCCTCTCAATCCCTTTCTTTAGAAATAGGCAGTACCCCAACTTTTTCCTGTCTTTTACTCTCTGGGTATTCCCCACAGAGATCATGACTAGGCAAATGCAGGACAATCAAGTTCCTTTTCTTCATACATGTGGGGCGTGACAGATGTTGTTTTATACTTTGCTTTTCCTGCTTAGCCACACGCAGAATGGCGCTTACCAAGACATCTAGCTGAGCCTGGAAACACTGCCTTATCCTGAATTCTTGGAAACATGCCAAAAACATTTTTACAGCAAACGTGTACACATCACCTATATTCAAAACCAATATTTCACTGACTTGCTTTATTATGTGTCTGTTGATCGATCCATCCCTTTACTGATCCATCAATATCTTTTATTATTTTTCTATAGGCAACTCCTTTCTTTTGTGCCAATAAAAACAGGTAACTCCCATTTGCATTGAGCACCTAACTACTTAAGTATGCATGAAAGTGACTCAAGTTAAATATTTGTTTGCAGTTACATTTTTTCTTTTGAAGTAAAATTTGCACACAATAAAATACATGGATTTGTAGTAGACCTATCTGTGAATTTTGATGAAGACAAGTATTTGTGTTAGCCAATTGCCAGTCAACATTCAGAACATTATCATCACCCAGAAAGTTCCCTCAGTCCCGTTCTCAGCCAGCCCTATCGGTGACCGTTGATGTGATTTGTTTCTTTTTAAGATTTATTTTATTTGTGCATCCAAGAACTGGGGTATAGGACAGAGGTTTATGTGGGGGCAGGAGGGAGGTTGAGAGGATTCACCAGAGACAGAGTAAGGAGCAGAACAGGTAGATCCCCTGCTGAGGGGAGCAGCAGGAGACAGGAGAGGTCTGCTGCGCCTGTAGGGAACTTCATGGCCTGGGATGGAACTCGTGCTGCAGTGGCTGCGGACAGCTTCACTGTGCAGAGACTTAACCCCTGTGCCACCAGGGAGACCCTGTTGGTGTGATTTCTTTCCATCATTTTATATTCTTTAAAAAAAAAGGTTTCTATTTTATGGAACAACCACTATTTTATTTTTCTTTCCCACTGACGACCATTTAGTTGCTTTACAGGAGTTTGCACTTAACATATTTCTGTGTGTGACTTTATCTACATGGGATATTTCAGAAAGGCCTCTGGGTGAAGGCTTTGACCGATGGGACTGCAGTGTTCTTGCAAGGAGTGGTAGACGTTCCCACTCCCATTCCTGCAGCAGGCGCCTGATTCCTCACACCTTGACTCTTGATAGCGTTCGCTTGCTATAAGGGGCACACTTAGGTGTACACAGTAGACCCTATGGGAATCTCACTGACTAATGACAAAAGCAATGAATAGATATTTCATTGAAGAGGAGATATAGGTGACAAGTAAACACATAAAAAGATGTTCAACATCATTAGCCTTTAGGGAGATGCAAGTTAAAAATCACAGTGAGATAACACTATACACTTATCAGAAAAGCTGAATAAAAAAAAAACACCCAATGCTAATGAAGATGTGGAGAAACTGGATCACTCAGGCATTGGGCGTGGAAGATCAAATGGCATGATTGCTCTGGAAGAGAATAAAATAGTTTCTTAAAAAACTAAGTTGCATTTATATGGCACAACAGTTGTATTCCTGGGTATTTATCCCAGATAATCAAAAACATGTAAAAAAAAAAACCCTGTACGTCAATGTGCAGAGCACATTGGAAACATAGCAAAACTGGAAACAACCTAACTGTCCTCCAACAGGATCAAACAAACTACGGCACATCCATAACATGGAATACTACTCAGCAATAAAAGGACTCTTGGGTGCTCAGGGAATTTGGCTGTGAACACTGGCAAATCTGGTTCCATTTGTACAACACTCTTGAAATGGTCCTCACTGTGGCTGAGGGCTGCACATCAGTCTGCTCAGGGCCTGAATAGAACAAAAGGGTAGAGAAAGGGTGAACTTGTTTTTTCTGCTTGAAGTGAGATGTACATATTCTCCAACCTCAAACAGGAACTCCTGGTCCTCAGGACTTTGCACTTGGACTGGATCTACAGCATTGGCTCTCCCAGCTCGCAGAGGACAGGTCAGGCATACCTCGGCCTCCACATTCATGTGAGCCAACCCCTGTGATAAATTTCCTTCTCTCCTTGATGTCCATAAGCACCCTGTTGGTTTTCTTTGGAAAACCTTAACATATTTATTTTGGATCCTATTTGGCCAAAAGAATTAAGAAATTACAGTCTAGATTATGGATATAAGGATTAATCTAGAAATTTCTCATCCCTCTGGAGCAGTTTAAACTCAAACTTGGATTGGATATCAGAGTCTTCAAGGGAAGACTGGGAAAGCCGAGAAATACACTTGTAAGTAAGAGATTCTCCCACATTGGCCTAGTTGAGATTTTGGATTGAGTTCAGTCATTGACACATTTAGAAAACAATGGAAAAGAAGCACAATTATACTCAATGGTGAATCTATAAATTCTTATTACATACACGTGTGTGTATTTGTTCACCAGAATAAATGATCATTTAAAAAATACACAATAAATATATACCTTTTAATATCTTTTGTTACAAAATTAATATGTCAGTGTCCTCAGTGTATTTTCATTCATTGAGACATCACACTATGTAGTTTCATTAATCCCAATCAATATTACTTGCTAAGAATTTTCCATGTTGTGAAAAATGTTTCATAAACACAATTTCTGATGGCTATGAAATATTAATCCAAGATATGGTATAATTTATTCAAGCATCCTCCTACTGTTAGATTTTTATTTGCTGTCACAAATACTGCTGGGATAAGCATCTGCCCCTAAAACTGTCCACTCACCATGCTTTCCGCAAACATGAGAACTTGGCTATTAAGCTTGATGTATGTAACTTCAACATATGAAGCGTCCCATTTTGTTTTAATTTGCCCTCATGTTTCTTGAGACCGGTCATTGCCTCCATATTTTGATTTTATATTTGCTGTACTTGTTGAGAAATCTTGAGGAGGGAGTGGTTCTTTGGAGATGTACTTTTGGGTGATTTCACAGGCAGACAGGTGAGGGTTTGAAATCCTGGGGTTTGCTGCACTAAGGAAAGGGGGAGAGGCAGGAGACAGAAAGTGATGAGGGGAGGGGCAACGGGCTGAGGTGAGGAGACCAGAGGGAAAGCGCAAAAGGGGCCCTTGCTCCTCAGGGCCCTGTGCCATGCAGGCGCCACACCTTCCCAACAGGGTCCAAGTGTGGCTTCTTTCTGAAGAAAGAGCGAGTATTCTCAAAGAAGTTCAAGTGTGATATTGTGGTTTTAAGAAAAATATTTGCTCATACGATGGCTAAAACATAGCTCTTGCACAGATTTGGTTTTCATTCAGCGCTCAGCTCACAGCTCCCAAAGCCATGGAATTTCCTAAGTATTGAGAGTGATCCTGGCATCTTTCAGCATGTAACTACCTGGTATTTGGAGGGGATTCTGGATGGGGGTGATGGGGGCGAGTTGCCTGGAGACTCAGCCTCGTGGCTAGTGTGAGACTCCAGAGGAGAGGGCTAGAGACTCAGCCGGTTGCGGAGGCCGATGAGTTCATCAGTCACACCTAAGTAATGAAGCCACTATAAAATCCAAGAGGTTGGGGTTCAGAGAGCGTGTGGGCTGGCAAACACATGGCGCTTGGGGAGAATGGTCACCCCTGAAGAGGGCATGGATGTTCCATGCGCTTTTCCCTCCCGCGCCCCATCCATTTCTCCCGCCTAGCAGTCCGAGTTCTATCTTTTTGTAATAAATCAGCTACCTAGTGAGTAAAGGAGTTTCCTGAGTTGTGTGAGCTGCTCTAGTGACTCAACCAAACCCAAGGAGGGGGTCATGGGAACCTCCGGTTTAGGCTTGCCACTGGCACCTGAAGGCTAAAATGAGGGGTCCGAGAGACACCCAGTCTGAGCTGGTTGGTCAGAAGCGCAGGTGACAGCCAGGATGGGCGACTGGCTTCCCAGTGGAAGGTCTGGGAGACTGAGCCCTTGACCTGTGGAATCTGGTGTAGACAGTGGCAGAACTGAGTTCTCAGACACCCTCGCGCTGTCCCAGCTTTGCGTGTGGCTGTGGAAAGCCTCCACACCCAGTCACCTGAAATTGGGTCCAGGAAGCCTTTGGACAAGGTGTTCTGCCTGTTTCATTCTATTACTAGAACAGGGCCTTGGATCAATAAGTGGGGGATGGGCAAGCTGCATGTCTGTGTGGGAGGGCCAGGGCTTATATAGGCCAGGGAGCAGGCCTCTGGGTTTCCTCCAGCTGTGCCTGTGTGGGAGGGGACGAGCTGCCATCCCAGACCTGGCGACTGCTGCTCTCCCTGGACTGCGTGCCCGGCACAGCGGGTCGGTACCGCAGAGCCATCTGGGGGCAAACTCCGTCAGGCTCCACTGCCCTCCAGCCTTCACTCCAGTGACCTCTGGCCCCTGCCTGTCCCAGGAGCAGGGCCAGTCAGGAGGAGAAAGGACTACACTGGTCAGTGGCAAATTCCATCTAGCTCAGTTTTCTGTCCCTGACAGTTTCTGTAGAAAAGAAAGAGGAACTGTTCTCTGCTCCTTCCATGAGAGCTGTGGAGGCGGACAGGGCTGGGGAAATGGGGGGCGGGTTTTCTCAGGTACCTGCAGTGGACAGGACAGCACTCAGGACAACACAGACAGCAGGAGAGACCCAGACCGTGTGTGGCAGCATAAAGTTTATTGTGGGGAAGCTGAATCGGAGGCTCTGAAGGCACACGTGAGGCACAGAAGGTGGAGCAGCCTGAGTCACCATCCATGATGCCCTCCCAGCACCCCCAGGGCCACCGCTGTCAGATAGGGAAATTGGGGGGCCAGTGTCCCGCCTTGGAGCGGGGGAAGCTGATGGTTTCATCCTCTGGGCATCAAAGTCTGGCACTTGGAGATGGAGGCACAGGGCCCAGCCACTTCTCTCCTGTGTGGAGAAACTCACCCATGGCAGAGGCTGCCCACAAGCCTCAGAGACTTTCCAGAGGGCACTCTGCTTGGCTTCACAGTGAGAAGGCTCCCTTCTGTCATGAGGGTGAAGGTGGCCCCTTCCTCTTCAACCTCCAGCACTGCTGTGCCTATACTAGGCTTAGTTGTTAGAAATGCCTGGAATACTCTTGGATGGGGATCTATCCACCTGGTCAACTGATACTATGGGGGTGGGGCTGGGGTGAAGGGCCCTCAGGATGAACCGGCAGCTTACCCAGCATGTGTGCCAGCAGCTCCATCCTGTCCGAGCCAAACAGCATGTGGGTTTGGCCATCCAGCTGGACCACGGTGATGGGCAGCCCAAAGGCCTGAGAAGCAGTCAGGTGCGGGGAGGGAATAGAGAGGGGCGTGATCAGTCAGGTTGGAGTTGGAAACTGCAGTCAATTCTGGTCTACTCAGAAGCAAAGTGAGATGCCTGGGCCCCCACAGAGACTTCTGAGAGACTTCAGTCTTTTCTCTCACCATCTCTCTCACCCTCCCTTTCCTTGGGTGCAGGGAAGTGGGGAGAGGACGAGGGTAGTCCTGGAGAGCTAGGACTCATGTTGGGGAGCTTTTGGACAGTCTGGGACCCAGCAGAGATTAGGCTGTCTTCAGCGCTGGGGCTGGGGCCACACATCCACAGTGGCTCACCCCGTATTTGCAGGCTGCGTCGGTGGTCTCCTTGAGCTGATTTTTCACCTGGGGTGTTGATATCTTTTCCAGAAGCCCTCGGGCTTGTTCTGTAGACATGCCAGCCTTCTGTGCAGCCTGAGGGCATGTGGGATGTGGAAAGGAACACAACTTTTTGTTTGTGTGTGTGGTGGTGGGGGGGCAGGGTGGTGGTGGGTCAGGGCTCAGGAGCTACTTCTAGTCTTTTATTCCTGCAAAGTGTTACTGGCAATGCCCTTTACCCACCCTCCAGCAGAGGTCTATCCTTGCCACGAGGGTCAATGTTTTCTTCTTTCAAAACCTTGACATTGGTGGAAAGAGCAAGTGGTGTAGAGTCGCAGTTACTGAAGTTAAACGCCAGAGGGCGTGTCGAGACCGGCTGCCCCACCTTTTCATTAGCGCGGGTTGGAGCAGGGTCAATGTTAGAATTTGCGTCCCCTGACAAGAAGTCACTGGCTATCGCCTTCCTGCTTCTTAGAATTTTGAATAGTTCATACTTTTTAAAAATCCAGGGCGGAGTCCTAATTCCCATGGCATTTCCTGAGGACTGCGCAGATTAAAGGGCTGCAGCCACCTGCCTGGTTTCTAGAGAATGATAAAGCCTTCAGTCTGGACTTTCTGGAAGTTTTGGGGTCCCAGGTTCTCAATTTTGGCTGCTCATTTGAATCTCCTGGAATCTTGAAAACAATGCCAATGCACAGGCCACCCCCTTAAACATTTATGGGGACCTCCAGGGGGTGGTGGCCCGGTGCTCCAGGGGGTTTTAATACATGTTCCACCGCCACCTGAACTCGACGTGGACACCACGCACATTCGCTGAGACCTTGTCTTCGCAGGCTAAGTGAGACAGTTGTGTTCCCGACACCATGTTTGACATTGGGGTGGTTGAGTAAGCAGATAGCTCTGCTGAATGGAGCACTTGGTGGGAACTAGAATCAATACTCTGCAAGAGTTAAAATCGTATGGATATGCTTGTCAAATAATCAGTAACGAGGTAGGCAGATGTGTACATGTTGCAGGACGACACTGGAGATCACACCGGCCATTCTTTGTATATTTGGTATCTGTGACCTGCCATTTTATATCTTAAATGAGAATATACCTCCACTATCTTTTGTAAACCTAAGGGAAAGTATTGGTTTGAATTTTCTGATTTAACCCTAAAAAAATGTGCTTTTCTTACTGGCAACTGTGATGGGCACGCATTGTTTAGAATGACTTTCATTTGTTCTCACGCAGGACTCTATAGAGTTATGGCTTTGGTCAATGATCTCTCTCTCTCTCTCTCTCTCTCTCTCTCTCTCTCTCTCTCTTTAATATCCTGCCTTCCGCCTTCTGCATATATGCCTGGGGAAGGTTTGTGTTGGAGTCTTCCAGGCTAACACTTCCCTTACCTCTCCCCCCAAATCTGGGCATGTTAACATTCTTTACACTGAGTTTTTCATCAAGTAACTTCTGCTGTGGAGAATTTTGCACTTCTTTCAACCGTGAGATACTTATTAGAGTTCCCTAAGTTCTAAACTTAAGTAATCCCCCCCCCCCAATTACTATGACCTCTTCCCCGGAATAAGAAAACTGTGTCCTCTCGGCCCCCAAATACCAACTGTTCCCAGGTGCCCTCTGAGGGGAGTGGGGGAAGAGCAGGGCACTCACGGCCAGGATGCTCTGGGGCTCCGTGATGTCTTCATCCTGGGAAGAAAGGAGCTGTCAGCAGGAAAGGGGTAGAGACCAGGCGAGAGGCGGACAGGGGTGAGCTGTGAGGTGGCAGGGCCTGGACTCTGGGAACGGGTCTAGGGGACGGCCACCAAGTCGGCCAGCATCCCGAGTGAGTCCTGCACTCACCCGTGACCAGACTCGCATCCAGAGTTCTCGGGACACTTTCTCCAGCATATCCGGCTGCTCCAAGTTCACAGCAGTGAGGAAGCGCATGGCTGACAAGCTTCCTAGGGCACACGCACACAGAAGGGCTCCTCACATGAGTCCCCACGGAGGACAGCTCTGCTCTGCCTCTGTGCCACCCCCATGGCTCCCAGCCTCCCAGCCGCTTCTTGTTGCCCATTTACCCTGCTCTTCCTGCCCCTGTGTCCTTCGGGCAGCCTCTGCTTGGTTTAAGCTGAGTTCTCCCATAGCTACTTCTACTATCACCACTGGAGCTGAGCTCCGTGACCCTGATACCCTGTCTGCATCCCGCTCTCTTCACCTTTGTCCAGAATCACAGAGAAGAAATCCTTGGGCACCTGGAGGGGAATTTGCATTTGCTTGGCCAGACGACTGATGTCATTTAGCAAGTATTTGCCTTTTCGTGGAAGCATGGCTGGGGGCTGGTTTCCTGCAAGGGGAAAGTAGGTAGCCTGATGAGTGACCATTAGGGTCCCCGCTGGAGGACCCCCGACCTGGGTGTCAGGCAGAAGGCAGATTACTTGCTGCTGGTGCCCACGTATAGACCCATCCAGGGCAGCTCCCAGGGGCCTCTGGAATCAGCCTTCCCTCAACTCCCTGCCTCTGACTTGCTCCTCATACCACTGTCCTTCATGATCCCTGCAATGAGGCTGGGACGCAACTGCAGGTTGACATTCCAGATGTTCTTGTAGCGGCACAGGATCTACAGAAGCAGAGAGCCACAGAACCAGTGGGTGAGATGGAAAGGCAAGAATGGCAGGCAGAGGGCAGAGCTGTTTCCTGGCCCCAGGCTCTAGGCAGGGGGTTGTGCTGGCCTACACACACAGTTGGGTTTGGAATGGCCAAACTCTCCACTGGTAGAGCTGCACCCCAAGACCTTTCTG